ATCAGCGCATTAAGATTTTAATATTTTTATTTTAAAATCGTAGTTTTAGACTAAAAAGGGTTTAAAGACATAATACCTATATATAGTAGAAAGTAATGAAGGAACAAGAAGTAAATAATTATATTAATAAGAAATGCTATGACTGTTGCCATTTCAAAAAAGAGAATATGGAACTATACAAATTAAATTTACCTAATGGAATAGTTAATAATATTATTGAGTATGCTTTGAGTAAAGAAGACGAATGTAAAATTTGTCAGGAATGGAGAGATAATCAAGAATTAATCAGATGTCATTTGAACATAAAAAGAAGACATAATAGAAATGTTGAAGATGACATTATAATATTTTTAACTGTGTATAAAAGACCACCTTATAGTTATGTTAGAGCATTTCTGAAAATCAGTAAGAAAAAATATGAAATGATTGAAGATGTATTATGTATGTTGACTAATCATAGTAGGGAAGGGTTTGATGTAAAAGAAGACATTAAAACATATATTGACAGAAAAAAGTTTAATGTCAAAAATACAGTGAGAGATATTAATATTATTTTAAAAATGATGCATGAAAGAGGTAAGATGTATCAACGATTTAACAATCATCAATTAAATTATTATCCTGAACTTAAATTATAAATTATATTATCAATATAATAAATCTTAATTTATTATATGGATAAACAAAAAATAATTAGTGATATTTATTATGATAAAAGCGGTTATGGTAGTAAAGCTGTAACTTTACAAGATGCAAGAAGGAAGGACAAAACAATTACTATGAGTGATGTAAATGAATTCTTTAAAAAATAATATTGAAGAGAAAAGAAAACCAAGAGGACAAAATCGTTTTGTTGCTCCTCATGCCTTCTGGGAATTCCAGTTGGATTTGTTGTTCATTTCAAAAAATGATTTGGATAATCAAAAGTTTGGAGTTGGATTAATATTAGTTGATATATTCAGTAAATATGCTACTGTTATACCTATTAAAAGTAAGCAACCTGCTGATGTATTAGCTGGAATAATGGAAGGATTAAAAAAGATGGATGGCAAATCTAAATTAATATACAGCGACGAAGAAGGCAGTTTGTTTAGTTCTACCATTACAGATTATTTGAAGGAAGAGAAAATTGAATTACACACTACACGAGGACACCCTGCTTTCGGAGAACGTTTCATAAGGACATTTAAAGATATGCTTTTCAAAAGAGTTGATGCCGATGAGAAGAAAGGTAAAAATAATATTCAATGGACTGACTACATATTGGAAATCTTATTAACTTATAATAATAAATTGGTAAGTTCCGTTACAAAAATGACACCGTTAGAAGCAAGGAAGAAGAAGAATGAGCTCAAAGTTAAATTGAACATATCAATGAATGCCAGAAAAACCCGTTTGTATCCTGATTTAGATGTATCCAGTCAAGTAAAAATAATGAGAAAAAAGGGAATAAGCGAGAAAGCACATACAAGTCATTGGTTAAAAGAAATCTTCACAATTGAAAGAATAGAAACTAAATTGGGGCAGAAATATTACTATGTGAATGGAAGACCCAAACCATTATTGAGGCATGAATTGCTGAAAGTAGATTAGAAAGAATGAAAAAGATATATAAAGAAGAAAAAGGATAATATTATATAGATATGTGTAAGTATGAGAATGGCAAAATATACAAGATATTGAATTCAGTTGATGATGAAATATACATTGGTTCAACTGTTGAAAAACTATGCCAACGAATGGCGAAACACAAGGCAAAAATTGAGCACAAACCGCAATACAAATTGTATCAACACATGGCACTACATGGTAAAGAAAAATTCTACATAGAACTTGTGGAACTATTCCCCTGTCAAAGTAAGGAAGAATTAAGAGCAAGAGAAGGAGAGTGGATAAGGCAAATTGCAACTTTAAATGATAAAGTGGCAGGACGAAACCAAAAACAATGGTATGAAGACAACAGGGAAGGATGCGCCGAAAAAGCGAAGAAATACAGAGAAGACAACAGAGAGGCAGTGCTTCAAAGGCAAAAAGACCACCGCAATGCCAATATTGATAAAGTTAGAGAATACGACAGGCAACGATACAAGCATGACCCCGAAGGGCGCACTGCGCATATAAAGAAGTGGAGAGAGGCAAATACAGAATATGTGAAAGAACAGGCAAAACAGTGGCGAGAAAACAACAAGGAGCGGAAAAAAGAGATGGATAAACAATGGAGGGAGAGAACCCGCCAAGAAATACAATGTGAATGTGGCGCAAAACTATGGAAGGCAAACCTCAAAAAACATCAACAAACATTAAAACACAAAAAGGCAATGGAAGAGCAAGAACAAGCAAACAGCAACTGAATAAATAACTAAGATAATATATTGATTATCTTAATTATTATTTAGAATTGTAGTTTTAGACTAAAAGGGTTTAAAGACAAACTGCCTATATATATTAGTGAAAATGTTCAGTGAAATTGAGCAAGACAATATTATTAATGAATTCTTGAATACAATTTATGTAAGTGATATGTGTAAAATTATGAAAACTAAAATCATAAATTGCCCTTGTAAATTAGAAGATAAGAAGGTTGAATTATGTAAATTAAATTTACCTCAAAATATTATCAATGATATATGTAAGTTTAGTTATCAAGAATGCAAAGACTGCCAGTGCCTGAGGAGACTACCTGAAATTGTTGAAAGAAAAAACAAATGTAAAGCAATTGATGCATTGACATTTTTGTTCGTTAAATGTCATTTCTTTCCTGAAAAGAATGTATTAAAAAATGAATTTAACTTCTCAATAAGAAGAATAGACTGTCTAAAGCAAATTTATTGGAAAATTGGTAATAATGATGTAGATATGGTAATTGAAATTATTAAATTGGAGAAATTCAACTTAGACAGAACAATAGCCGACTTTAACAAAGTTATAAAATATATGTATGACGACAAGAGTTTTTGGAAACATTGTTGCATTAATCAGTTTGTAGAATGTCCTGTGTTTAGAATATCACCTTTTGAAGAAGATTAACCCATAAACCTTACAATAAAAAACATTGTAAGATTTATGTTTAGGTTCTTTGAAAAGTTCTTTGGAATGTTTCGTTGGTTGGTTGCTTTGGAATGTTCTGTGTTCTGTTCCTTGTTTGGTTTTTTGTTATGTTTCTTTGTTGTTGGGGGTTCTTGGATAAGGGGACTTCAACCTATCTGAGTAAAAAGGGTTAAAGGGTTGTTGGTATAGTGTAGTAGAGGTTATGGAAAAGAAATATTGCTCTAGTTGTCAAAGAGATAAGGATGTGAACTTATTCACTGAACCCTATAAACGTTGTGATAAGTGAGGTGAAAAGAGCAGAAGGAAACAACAAGTAATATATCATTGCAATATATGTAATTGTGATATAAAAAGGACACATAAACCAAAGCACGAACGCACTTACAGACACAAAGAAAATATAGAAAAGAATGAGGTTAAAGATGTTTGAAATGGTTTAAGTTATTCATCAAAATGGATAACTTAAAGCATTTGGCGAGCGGATAGGAATTTCAAGAATTTATGTATGAACTTTTATGTTAGATTTGGGGGGCGCTTTTAAAATGTGCTGAAAACCCTAGGGTGGTATACACATTTTGAAGTGGGTTGTAGGCCCTCTGCTTGCTGTTTGGGGGGGCTTAAAAGCGACACGGCCAAGAATCCTCAACGAACCACTCTTTCCCAGCCTCCTCTTCAGATGGAAACCAATTCCTCCAGGCTTGGACCATTTTCTGAATGGGGCCCCGGTGCAACTATAGGACCAGAATCTTAGGTATGTCGCAGGAAAGAGTAGACTAGGTCCTCTAGTAGTGCCCTTGACCTTTTTTTTTTGGGGGGGGGGTTCCCTACTAAAATAGACTACAGACAACAGTTGGTACCCTTATTCTAACCTCTTTCCTGTAGGGTATGTTGCAGATGGAAGGAGTAGAGAGGCTGAAACCCATCCGTCCTTTTTGGTTCATGGTGGATCGGTGGATCTTTTAGCAGATGATTTTGCCCACCGCCCAGATGCTTTCAAGGGCCCTTCCCAGTGGCAGATGGATCAACCCCATTAATGGGAAAAGCCACCTTCCAAGTGGTGCAGGGTTTGTCATTCCACAATAATTATATCTTCCTTAGATACAAGGGAAAACATAGGCGGGGGGGTGGGGGGGGTACGTGTTATGCAATGAGTGGCGGGGCTACTTTCCGCTTGGTGGTAAGTTCAACTCAGCGTTGGCCAATCCCAGAAAGTGAGGAGTCTGACTGGAGGTAGTCAGAGTTTGGCGGTAGCGCCAGAAAAAAGACAAATCGGCAAATTGTGTGGTGAGCTCATTTGTGGGGATCCAAGATTTGTTTCTAAATAGGGTACCCCCCTAAATGGAGGAGTGCCCTTGGTGTCCACAAAAGACAAGCCGATTTCCAGTTTGACACACATTATTGTAAAGCTGGCCAACCTATTTTCCAGAGCTTGACTTTGCCAGGAGCCCTTGTTGAAAGTTCGCGTGTTTCCATTTTGGGAAATCTAGAGCCTGCACCTTTTGGTTTGGAGGGGTAGTTTTAATTGTTTTTGTTCACCACTGTTGGGGTTTCCACACATGGGAAGGTAATTACTCCTCCAAACCCGCAATCCAAACCAGTTGAGGGTTACCTGGGGTCTCCTCAACTATTTTTCATTTTGGGGTAGATCCAATATGGGGTTGCCGGTTTAAAGGGAAGCAAAAAGGAAACCAACCATGTTAAAAGGTCTGATTCCTAAAAAATGACGAACTCCCCCCGCCCCTAAACAAAGAAGCTAGAATCTAAAACCCCCTTTTTATTAGAAGCTAGAGTCTAAAAAAGGCAACATTTCTGCGCCCTTCCCTTCTTTTGGTATTAGCTTTCGAGTGTTTAGTGGCAGTTTCCATATAACCCACTAAAAGTTAGTCACTTTTGGGGGATCTGAAAACGGGCAGCCCAGTTCTTTTGCCAAGTTGCCGGACTTTCACCCGCAGGACCAAGCAGATGGAGGAGAAGCTCCGGAGCAAGGCGCTCGGGGAGGTGCTGAGAGTCACCGCCGCCTTTACCTTCAAGGCGCTCCTCATGCGGAGAAACAAAAAGAACAAACGCGCCGTTTTGCGGTTGATTTGTTTTGTTCCCAGACAACTTGAGCAAATGGATTCTTCATTTAGGGAAAACATTGGAGACACACAGACACACACACACGCACGCAGGTTTCTTCCTTTTGGGACTGGAAATATTGTTTTTGTTTTTGTTTTGTCCAGGAGACTTACGCAAATGGAAGCTTCATTTAAGAAAAGCGTTGGAGAAATCAATGGACACGTACTTCCTTTTGCCGAATGTTTGTTGTATTTTGTTCCTTGGTTTTTATTGGGAATCGAGTGCACTACTGGAAATATATTATTATTTTCTTGGGCGGAAAAGCAGCTGGACGTTTTGGAACGTGGAGGGCACAGGAAACTGTTTGAAAATCACCCAAAGTGAATCGACTAGGTTTGACCTGTTGGTTTACCTGTTTGGTGTTGTTTTTGTTTTGTTGGGTTCTCCAACTGTTAGCCTTTTTATTGTTGGGTCATTTGGGCATGTGAGTAAAAATGGACCCCTCTAAGGGAGGTTGTTGAAACAGTAAGAGTAGGTGGGTGCGTCTTTGTTCTGGACCCGAATGAAGAATAATGGTTATCCTTTTGGTTTCTCTTGGGTTCCCCAAACAAATGTACCCGCACACCTTTTGACTATACGTTTTACGCGTACTGAACATACAGAATCACATCAGCGGTAACAGACTCTTCTGTAACCTCTGTAGGGTTTGTTTGCAAGATTCCGTAGCCAAACTGTTTTCTGGGGCAAAGGGGGGCAAGCCATCTTAGGAAGCACCAATTGGACGTCAAAGCCGGGAAGATTTACTACACAAACCAGCTCTTACTCTGATGTTTCGTCAAGTTTTGCAGCACCATGTTGTCAACTGGACCAAGCGGCATCATTTCCTCAACCGAAACCAAAAGAACACAAAATTCAAGCACAAAACAACCACAAAACAACCACAAAGCAAACACAACACAATCGAAACGCACCTGAACCGTGCGCAGAGCGACGGGTGGCTAAGGAAGTGAGCGTGGCCACAGCTGGCCATGCCTTTCTCCACCTCCGCTCGTTGGATAGCCGTGTTTACTGGAGGACCTAGCCACAAAGCAAACACAAAACAAACACAACGCAGCGAAAACAAACAAAAATGGCTTCGTCCGTTTGGGAGCTCGGTTTCGGCTCGTTGGATTTTGTGAGAAAAAGTCACCGACTCCGAGGCGCCGGACGAGGCGTGGCTGCAGGGCGGCAACGGGCGCACGGACAAGTCCCGGGAGCCCATGGGGTGCCTGGGGGACCAGGGCTGGCGCCTCGGCAGCGGCGGTTGTTTTTGTTTAAAACAAACATATTATATTTAGTTAGCTAGTTAGTTTTGTTTTCAACGGTTTTTTTGTTCGCAAGGGTTTTGATGGTTACCAGTAAGTTACCAGTGGTTTTTGATGGTTACTGGAGTGGTTGTTGATGGTTACCAGTGGTATTTGATGGTTGTTGGATTGGTTTTGGATGGTTACCAGTGGTTTTTGATGGTTACTCTATTATTATTGTTCGATGGTTACCAGTGGTTTTGATGGTTTTCTGTTTTCTTTGCTTTCAGTTGCCATTGGTTTCTCAAACCTGTATCGAGGTTTTGATGGTTTCTGCGAGGGGTCCAGCTCTATTTCCCTTTTTGGCGATTTTAAACATCACCTGTTTGGTCTAAAGGTGAGTGTGTTTCTTGGTGGGGCTAATGTTTTAAGGAGAAATATAGGGAGCCCTGTTTTCGCGCGCCCCGTTTGCATGGCGCCAAAAGGGTGTCAGCGTTATCAACTTCCGCCCAATTGGTGGTATGGAGCCGGGTGGTTTGGTGGTTAAGGGGTGGTTAAGGGGTGGTTAAGGGGTGGTTAAGGGGTGGTTAAGGGGTGGTTAAGGGGTGGTTTGGTGTGGACCCCTCTATGTTCCTTTTTTGAGATACCTCCAAAAGTGGCGATCGTTTCAAGGGACACCACCAGTAGATTGATCCCCAGAAAGGCTAAGCTGGGTCCATGCATGTGAATGAAAGGGGAAGCCTTTGTTTAAGCTTTGGTGCATGTTGCTCGGATGTTAGGACTTTAGCTTTTTGCCAACTCACGGGTTCTCCGTATCAAACCACTAAAAGTCAGTTACTTTTAGCAGAGCAGATTTCGCAACCGAGTAAGGGAAGTTAGGCCGCAACAAAAGCCCCCGAAAGCCACCGGTTCGGTGGTGTTTGTGTTTGTGCGTGTGGGTGTGGGTGGGGTGTTTTGTCCTCTTCTTCTTTTTGGTGGCGCCGGCCTTTTGGATCTTCGGTTTGTTCCTTTGTTTCCCTTTGCCTTCAACTTTTTTAGGGAGTTGTTTCTGCCAAACCTCCAGAGCATGTCCCTTGACCTTGGGAGGGGGTAAATCGCTTGGAATCAAGTACAAACAAGCTGGTCTTCATTTTCCAGAAATCCACTGGGAGTCTGGGCTCATGCGTGTGTGTGTGTGTGTGTTTGCGTGTGTGATTGTATTGGGGAACCTCCCCTTTTGGTTGGCTTGAAAGGGGCACCAAAATAAGCTTGTGAGACAAACCTGAGTATTAGTAAACCTCTGGCTGATTTTCATAGGGGGTGTCTCATGTTAGAGGCAAGCCCTGAGTTTCGGGGGGAGGCACCAGTCTTGTTGATCTGCCAAGCTGTTCATCCCGGGTCAATATCATGTGTAGGTCTGCTTGAAAGGAAGCCGAGGTCACTCCGTGCCAAGTCTGGGACCCCACAAATGGTGTTTGTCCTTCTCGCTTCCTTTCCCACCCCAAGAAAAGGGCAAATGAGCCACAATCAGAACCTGGGTAGGATGAAGGTTAGTAAGGGACGATCCCAGCCGGAAGCAGTTGCGGCCGCCTTTCGAAATTGTTTACATGGTTCTGGGTTCACCATTTTTGTACCAGGTTTTGATTGTGACTCAAATGGTGTTTGTCTTCTCGCGTCCTTTAAGAAACACAACCGAAAAGGGGACCCCAAGCAAACGCAACGAGATGCCTCTTGCTGAGGTACCCCTTGTCCGCGATCCTGTGGGCTTTCGGCTGGATTCTGCCAGAGAAGGTCATGTGCACGCACGTCACCTTCAACAAGGTGGGATACTTCCATTTGCTTAAGGATATTTGTGATTTTCCCCTGGGATATCAGTCCCTCAATTTCCCTTGGTCGGTGGTTTTGATTGGTGGTTTGGTGGTCAAGGGGTGGTTTCCCATTTACTACAAGAGCCAAGTTTTAGGTTGGATCCCTCAATTTCCCTTTGTTGGGCCTCCAAGAGTGGCGATCATTTCAAGCGAAACCACGAGTAATTCGTAACTTTTAAAGGGGAGATCGAGTGACCCTGATTGCGCGAAGCCTATCTGAAAAGATGCAGTGGCCTGGCGACGCCACTTTGGGACCCTAGAATTTGGGCAGATTAAATCGCGACAGCACACTTAGACTCGGGGCTCCTCCGAATCTAAGTGATACTAAATACAGAACAGAGTCAGAAAATGTATTTTGTGCACCCCAGACCTGGGCCAAGTACGGTGTTTCCATTTAACAAAAGTTAGACCTTTTGCTCTGCTTTCAGGGCAGGCCCGCAACGGGTTTCTCTCAACTTTGTGGTTTACTTTGGCCCCATCTCCAAACCACGAGGGAAACCCGGAAGCAGATTCAGCCATATTAATGCATGAAGCGCTCGATGTTCAATTAACAAACCCACCCACGCACCCACCCGCGCACGCACGCACGCATGCACAAACACACGCACACATACAAACAAGCGAACACAAACACACACACACACACACCCACACACACACACACAGACATGCACGCCAACACACACACACAGACAAACAAACACCACACCCACAGTACGCATACACACACACACAAGCACGTTGAACAAATCCATGTTTGCTTTACAAAGCAAGCAAGCAATCAATCAAACAATAAAACAAGCCAACCAACCAATCAACAAGCAAGCAAACAAAGAAGGACAACAACAAACCAACAAGAAGACAGAAGCAAGCAAGCAAGCAAGCAAGCAAGCAAGCAAGCAAGCAAGCAAGCAAGCAAGCAAGCAAGCAAGCAAGCAAGCAAAGACGGACACCACCAAACCAACAAGAAGACAGAAGCAAGCAATTAGGCAAGCAGGCAAGCAAGCAAGCAAGCCAGCAAGCAATCAAGAAAGCAAGGAAGCAAGCAAGCAAGAAAGCAAACAAATTAATTAATCAACCAACAAACAAATGCACAAGAACACCGCCAAGCAAATGACCGGTGTTTCAATGCTTCCGGGGTCTGGTCATATGAACATAACTTGTTGTTAATTAAATTTGAAAACAAGACAATACACAAACAGCAAAGAGGTAACGATTGTTTTGGTGGTTGGATTGGTGGTTTGAACCCCTGGTTCTTGTAGAGGGTAGACAGGAAACCACCCTACCTTCACACCTCCAAACTACCAGACTCACCACCGATTCGGGAAGCATAACCAGCAGAAGACCTCACCTGAGTCGCAATAAATGGGTGCGGATATCCGCCGTTTCACTTCTTTACATTGTTCTGGGTAGACGATTTTGATGCCAGGTTTTTGACAAGGTCCCCAGTAGTGCCCTTTTGCCCTTGTTTGGGGGAGGGTTCCCCTACTAAAATAGACTAAATAAAAAAAGGGTACCCTTATTCTAACCTCTCTACTGGAGGACCTAGTTGATTATGACTCACCTATCCCAACAACCCTTGACTCACCAAACCTTCACACCCCGAAACCACGAGGCTCACCACTTCGGGAGGTGGAAGCTGAACCTGTGGAAGACCTCACCTGACAATCAAAGCCCGGGTAATTGGAGGGTAGAAAGGGACAATCCCAGCCAAAAATGGGTGCGGATATCCGCCTTCTCAATTCTTGATGTGGGACTGGGTAGCTCATTTTGATACCAGGTTTGTGAGTATGAAGTCATGCTAGGTTCACCACGATCTTGACGATAAAGAGCCCTGAAACGCGGCATGGAATATCTCATCACTAGAGCCCTGAACCGCGGCATGGAGCAAATCATATCTCTTGGATGTTTGGATTTTTTGCTTAAAGTGGTATCCTGGGACCCTGTGACTCACCTATCCAAACCAGAGGTGAGCCACAATCAAAACCCGCGTAGATGAAGATTAGTAAGGGGCAGCCATAAATAGCTGCGGAATTCCGCCTTCTTAATTCTTGAAGCATGGTTCTGGGATTACGACCATTTAATGCCGGGTTTTGAGCAAGCGACTCAGGTGGACTTAAACCCAGGGTGGAAGAGGGAAAGCCTAGCTTTAAGTCGGAGGTTGTCCAAAAGGGTGCTTGATTCCCCCGAAAAGGGAAAGCCTAGGTTTTGAGCAAGCGACTCAGGTTTATCCACCATTGAGACCATTTTGCCTGTTTGAAACATGTTGCTTTATCCACCAACATAAAGGGACACCACCATTTCCAAGTTGCAATGTTCAGGGTGTCTCTCATGCATCCGGATCCCTGTTAAAGTGGTCTACCCTGTGACTCATCCAAACCAGAGGTGGACACCATCGTGGCCTGCGCTGGCACCTTGTGGTTCCCGGGGAACCGCTCGGCGGTCTTCGACTGCGGCTGCACGTCGCCCCACCGGAGCCAGTTCGAGGCGCGGGTGGAACAGTGCGCTTTGCGGCTGGATCTGCGGGTTTCTGGATTGGCGTTTCTTTGTTATTTTTGTTTTACTATGTTTGGAATGATGTTTTTGTTTTTTTGAGTGGGGGAGTGGCGGACATGGTTTTCTTCCTTATTTTTATTAACCAGGCTCCCGCCTGCTGCCGCCGACCCTCGGCGCATTAAGGGAAAAGTCACAAGGACCGGTCCTGAAACACGTCCGCAAACCCAGGGACCACTTATAAGATCCTCTACGACCACAAACAAGGATTAACGGAAAAGTCAGAAATAGGGCAGCTAGTCCGTTAATTACCGCTTGGGCCGGCTTGCGCCCAAGTCACTTCGAGTTGGCGCCTCTCCCGGGGTCGCCCTGAAACTGGCCCTCCCGAAGTTGCCCTGGACCGGTCGCCGGCAGGGACCGGGACTTGGGACCCTATCCAGGCTGGTCCCAGTCTGGCGCGGTTTTTGACTCGACGTATTGGACTCTCTTGCAGAATAGATCCAGGGATCCTCTACTACCACAAGGATTAACGGAAAAGTCAGACAGATGACAGCTCGTCCGTCAATAACCGCACGGGCCGGTTTGTGCCGAAGTCACGTTGAGCTGGTCCTAGAAACAAGGCTGTTGGTCCCCCTCAACTGGTCGCAATCAGTGACGACCTGGGACCCTGTCCAGCCCCAGTGATCCCGGGATCGGCTTCCCAGTCTTAGGACCGGGTTCAGGACCAGTCCCAGGACCAGTCCCACGAGTTCTGGGACTGGTCCTGGGACCAGTCCCAGGACCGGTCCCAGGACTGGTGGACTGAACCCCATAACCATCCCGAAACCGGTCCCAGGACCTGAAACAGGGTCCCAGGACCAGTCCCAGGACCGGTCCCAGGACTGGTCCCAGGACTGGTCTTAGGACCGGTCCCGGGACCGGTCCCGAAATCTATCATTGATTCCAATCACTTCCAGTTGCATCCCACGCCGGTCCCCTCTGCAGGAGGCTGGGACGGGAGGCAGAGGGTCGGCGGACTATGTTTGGAATGTGTGTTTTTTTTTTGGGGGGGAGGGGAAAGGAGAGGGGATGATGTGTTTTTTTGATGTTTGGGATTTGGGGCCCCCTCGGGATTATGTAGTTTTTCGATGATTGGGATTTATCGTTTGGATCCTGAGCCACTGGTGCTAAAAACAACAGTCAATTAACAAGTTTTAATTTTATTTTATTTTACCGGGTCTCTGCCCAGATAGGCTTTGGGGGGGTGGTTTGGAGCACCTTAAAAGGGTTCTGGAGGGTTCTGGAGGGTTCCGAGGCTGTTGAGGAAAACAGGAGACGGTTGACAGGGTTTGATCGCTGACAGGCTGGAGAGAAGGTGTGATCAAGGCGTCCTTTTAGCTTGAGACTTTGAGCTGTGTTAGCGCAATGCCAAAAAGGACACCTTTGCCCGTGGATGGATTAGTCAAGGTATGGGCATGTCTCTTTTTGAGGGTGCCCTTTTTGGGTTGCTTTGTAGGGAAACCAAAGGAACCCTTTTTTTGGAGGGTGTGGTCCCCTAACTTCAGAGAGGCACCGGTATCCGTCCTGAGGTGGTCTGCGAAAATGGCCTGCTGCGCGTGGACGACCTGGTGGGCGGCCAAAAGAGGAGCAGATCGGGTCCTGATCAAATGGTCTCCTTTTGCCTTCCCTAAAATCAGGTTCAATTGGCTTGGCTGTTCAAAGGTATTCCGCAAGATCCTTACCTAGATTTACGCAAGGAGTTTGTCCCCCTTTTAGGTGGCTTCCCTATAGAGACTATGGACAATCGGATTGGCCAAACCTCCATTTTGAACCCTCGGGAACACCTCCAAACTGCGATTTAAGAGGCTGTCGCTGATAGAACACGTGACTTTTGTTTGGCCTTTCCTTCAGAACAACCCCAAACCACGGGTTACCTAAACGCAAGTGGAAACCAAAAATAACCCGCATTAACCCGCCTCCCCCCCCTTGGGGGTGTCTCTAGGTTAAGACACACCCAAATGTAGTGATGTGAACCTGAGCATCAAGTGGGCACTGGGGAGGTTCCCAATGAGAAGCAATTAAGTATAGGGAGTGCAAGGCCCTTATTGTTTCTTGCGTGGTCGAACAAATGTTCTTAAACAGGGCGTGATGTTTTCTGTTTGTTGAAAGGGGATGCCAAAAGGGAAACCGCTCGGTTTTTCTGGATCCCTTCTTGGGTGTTTGGCGAAGTTAAAAAGTTGTTGGCAACCTAGAGTAGACCCCCACTTATCAGCCCCCTTATATGGGTTGTTTTCCAGCTCATGACACTGAAGTGGTGAAAACGTAGGGTCATGTAAGGGGTCTCCTTTGTGACTTTCCAATAGAGATTATGGATTAGGATTGGGCAACACTCCAGGTTGGCAACCAACGTTATAGCCCAGCGAGTCCCGAGTCAACCCTCGGGTGGCTAAGCACTTGGGCGTAACTTTTTTCGAGGGACCCCCTTTTTGGTTGATGTTGAGGGGAAACCAAAAGAAAGCCACCATTTTGGGGGTACCCTAGACACAAAGCCCTGCAGAGGCTGACTTTCCCTTTAACACAACCAGCAACGGGGGACCTCAAGGTGCGCTGGTTGCCAACCTACTGTAAGTTTATCTCCCCCTTGGTGGCGAGAAGCATGAACAATCTTCGCAAGAGGTATGAGAAATATACCACCGGACTGAACTCACCTCTTTGCCTTCGCTTGCTTTCAACCACAAAACAGTTGGTCACTTGCAGGGTCCCGGTGCCCCCGTCAGGCAATCAGTGTTTTGAGAAGCTTTACATTGAGGATGCCGATTTCGCCCTTGCCCAAAATGGCCCCCAGTCTTTATTTTACCCGGACACGAGTGGTTCCTTTTTTGAGAGCAGGGTCTGAAAAAACAGTCAGCTCTGTGCAACCATACCAAGGGTGTGAAGTGAAGCTTCGAAACATCCGACCTTGTTTGACCTTTGGGTGTGGCCGACTTTGATTTTCAACAGCCTTGCATTTGGAGAGAAGAGCACCTCCTGGGAGCTTGGGTTTTCTATTCGGCAAAAACTCTGAGAAACCCCCCAAAACAGCAGCCCTTCTAGAAAATCCCAACCTCCTAGGAGCTGCCCTTCTCTCCATTTGCTGGGTCCAGCTTATTTTTTTTTGGGGGGGGGTTCTTCTGCTTTTTTGGGGGTTTCTGCTTTTTGGGTGGTTTTCTTGTATATGAGAGTCGTCCGAAAGGTCCTTGTATTGAGCTATGAAGGGGAAGACCTTTTGGTCTTGGCGTTGACCTCCGCGAAAGTTCCGCGAAGGGGGTCGCGAAAGTTAGTTTTTTTATTCGCGAAAGTTTTGTGTAAGGGTGCTGTCTTGCTAACAGGAAGCTGGAGTGATGTGTATTTACCGGCATGCGGGCAGAATGCCGGCAGACCAAAGTTGGCCGGGGAATGCGCAGCCTGAGGGTCGCCGCAAGAAGACGCCGCTGCCCAGCCAGCAGAAACCGGCTTGTGGGAGTTTTGAAGCCTTCGGGTCAAGTTCAGTGCAACTTCCAGCCAGATTTTCGCGAATGTTTGGCGTAAGATCCGCGAAAGTTTCGCGAAAGTCGACGGACCTCCCCGCCAGTTTCCGGACATGAGGCCAACGGGTCCCCTCGTGTGCAGGTAACGGTTGTGAGCTGGAGCTGCGGAAACGCGCTTCGCGTGCTACTTTGGAACTGAAAGGTTGCGACTTTCGAGCTGGGGCTGCGGAAGCTTACTTTGCTACTTTCAGTATTGAAAAGCTGCGGCCTTCGAGCAGGGGCTGCGAAAGTGTACTTCGTGCATTACTTTTGTGATGAATGTTCTGAAAACAGCCCCGCGAAAGTTCGGCGATGGGGTCCGCGAAAGTTTTTTTTTTCTCGCGAAGATGGCGGTTTCCGGAACAAGGAATTTCAGACAACTGTCATATGTGCTCTTCTGCTTTTTTGGGGGTTTCTCTTCGGTTGCGTCTTAGGGAATCCCCTCAACGTAAGGTTGCATTCTCTTCCACGTAAGGCCTTTTCCACAGGAGGTCCTTATGAACTCACTTGCCCAAAGCCGACCTTTTGGCCTTCTGGTTTCACTGACTTGGTCCAGTGTTAGGGGTCCTTCGGGCCAGTGAGTAGATTTTTCTTTCTTGGGGCTGACAACCATTGCAGGCTCACGGCGAAAGGGATTTGAGATTTCCCACCTGAACCGTTCAACCATGGTTCGCTTGACTGCTCTTGGCAAGTTTGTTGTTGTTGGTTCAGTTCATGTTTATGGGTTGCAAAAACCAGAATCCGTTTTTTTTTTGCCTGCCCATACCGCTTGGGTTGTGGGGATTTCGTGAAAAGGTCCACTCAGTTCGTCGTTCGCCTCTCAGGAGCGGAAACTTCGGAGCATACGAGACACCCTTTGTCGGTAGCACGGAACCTTGGCATCGATTCGGAGTCTTCACAAGGAGGGGAAGCTCCAAACAGTTCGGCATGGACCTCCTTGAACGTTGTCTATAAGGGAAACCAAAAGGACGACAGCTAGTTTTAGCGGTGCCCTTTTCAACTGTTCAAGGGTAGCTCACTACCCTTTTCTTTCGCAACGAATCCTGCGTTGCGTTGATCGCCTATGGCTGCTTGCAGCCATTCAGTGCCTGGGAAGACTGCTCCGCAAACTTGGGACTCGCGGTTCGAGCCGAGATTGCTTGATCAATACAAGCTGCGCGTAATGAAAGGGTTTGCCAAAACCCTACAGGAAACTGCAACCTGGTCTTCATTGTTGGCTAGTCAGATAGTTGAGTTTAGTTTAGTCCAGTTCAAGTGTATTCATATTCTGTCCAATTAGTATGGTTACGGATGGTTTTCTCTCTACCCACAATAACCAGGGGTTCAAATCCCCAACCACCAATCCAAACTAGCTCATTTAGTTCGTCAACCAGTTAGTCAGTTGCGCCGTTTGTTGTGCTGTGTTGTCCCCCCCCCCCCCCGCGGCCCCGAAAGATCATTCCGGTGGGAAGCAGCAAAGTGTTGACTTGTTGGCCTAATCCACGAAAGCTAAAGTTCCAGGACGCTCGAAGTGTGCATTACGCAACAAACTGCCATCCCAGTTGCTACAGTAGAGTCGCTCTTTGAAGGTTGCAACGGAAATCAACAGGAGCCACACTCCAAAACCTGGGTAGAGGAAGCTTAGTGAGGGATAGTAACCAGAAATCAGTGCGGATATCCGCCTTTTGAATGCGTCGCATGGTTTTCGGCAGACCATTTGGATACCAGGTTTTGATTATGAATCACAGGACGCTATCCATTCGGTGGCCCAGCACAAACAACCGCGCAACAACGCTAGTTGGACATCTGGTTGGACTTGTGTTGGGCTTTTTGGTTACCCATTCTGTGATATCACGGGCATCCCACTTTGGGATGGGAGTCGGGAGTCCCACTTTGGTATCACTTTTCACAACCAACCTTTCTCTGGACAACATAGATGCCGCAACGGATTTCACCGCGGATTGCACACGCTGGCATCCAAGATAGGGGAATCCATAGGCATCAAGAACAAAACCTGGGCACCTGGAGGGCACCTCTGGAAGATGAGTTTCCTCAAAGGCCTTCCAGGTACCATGTGGGAGGGTAAACCAACAGTTTGGTGAGGGTTTTCTTTGGCCTCTCTTTTCAGGAGAGGTCTAAACTTTCTGGTGGGGACAACCAGCGTTTTCTTTGTCCTCACTTTCTGAGTTCCTGGACTTTAGTCATTTTTTGGGTCTGGACCATTTTAGTGGCAAATTTAAAGCAATTCCAGGTTACTTGTTTGGAAATCCCTACTCACACGATCGGAAGTGAGTCACTCAGAACGTGACAGGTGAACTGTGTCCAAGCTTTCAGGTGGTTTTGGGAGTACCAGTTTACTACCCATTTCCATTTTCTTTGTCCAGTTTTCTTTGTCCGTCTCCTAGTGAGTGAGCTTTTTGTCCAGTTTTCTTTGAGTGTCGTAGTGAGTGAGCTTTTGAGTGAGTGAGCATGAGTGAGCTTTTGAGTTGACTCATTTTCTCTGTCCAGTTCACTCAAAAGTGAGCTCGAGTATCAGCCACCGAACCTGGATCCAAGGAGTACGTGCAGGGTGACGCCATGGGCAAAGACGAGGTGATCTCTGTCGAGGGCTGTGACCATGTGCCCTGGCGACCATTTTTTCTTGTCGACATAGGTGAGATGGCCCTGGCTGACTTGGCGGTTCAATCATCTAGGGCCCTGGCCATCTATTTTCGACCAATCTGACCAAGACAGGACACCTATGTTTGTGGGTTTGTCGATCCCCATCCGGGTACCCCAGAATGGGTGCTGTCTGTTTGGTTTCGCTTTAAAACAGCCGCAGAAATGCAGAAACTCACCTGTGCAAAGCGAATCGACCTTTTGACAACTTCAGTCTCTCATTTCCAGGTCCTTGAGGCAAGTGAGTAAAGGGTTCCCTCAAAAGACGAGGCGCGCATGCGGTTGCCTGAACTGGGGATAGTTCTTCATACGCGTTTCCAAACCAGACAGCCTAGAGTCTCCATGACCCTTAGAAAATGGTCGGCCCTTTCCCAAAGTAAAGGGGTCGCGACCAACCATTTTCTAAGGGGACTCCGGGTACCCATCTTGTCAGCTCGTGTTTCGCACGTGCCGGTGGCATTCGTCCACCTTGATGGCACTTCTCACGGCTGGTTTCTGGCCACAGACCCTCTCTAACGAGGACTCCGGATTAATAAATCCCATGGTCGAATAGCAGGGGGGTGTTCCCTTTTAAAGATTTTGTTATCTATAGATGTTTCAAACAATGAATTCAACACCGTGGAAGCCATCCTAAGGGTTCAACATTTTGATGCAGACCCGAGTCATAGTTTTTGCTGGTTCGATGTGGTTCCCTCGAAACACGAATTCGATTGAGGGATCCCCGCATAAACTCGTGGTTGAGGAACCCAAGTCAATGGCTGAAACTCGGTCGCTGACTGACCAGTGATCTGTCTGGGCAATAAATTGGTTGTAGCCGCTTTCTTTGATACCAAGGGGAAATGCCCAATCAAGAGAGTGAATCCCACTGGCATCACACAAAGGCTCCATTGTCCAAGACCACGCTCTCTGGAACACTGTTGAACCGGGTACTCAGTTGTCCAAAGCGAATCGACCTTTTGGACCTTTTGGTTTTCTCGGTTTGGTCCATTGTTAGTCATGGCCCGCGGGGAGGGAGGGGAGGGGGGAGGGAGCCAAAATAAGCCCTTATTAAGCCCTTAAGCCCCTTTTTTCTGGGCTTATTCGGGCTCCTCTCCCTCCCCCCCAGCCCCCATGATGAAAGGTTAACCTTTGATCTCTGAGTCCTTTGGGCAACTGAGGGTCAAAGTTTCGAGAGTACTTTTCTTTGGAGCATTTTGCCAAGGGATGTTAGGACTTCAACTTTTTGCCAACGAATTTGGGTTTTCCGAATTCAACCACTAAAAGTTAAATTTAGCAGGGGAGCAGAAAGCAACCAAGTCTTGATGTCGCTGGACAATGGATGCACTTCAACCGAGTCACTCAGCCACGTCCCGGTCGAACCGTTCGAGAATCTGATATGAAGTCTTTTGGGGGACCCCTTGGGTTCCTTTGGGAGGAGCAATTCGTTTGGGCTCCATGTCCCCCAGATCCCCAAATTCGTGGGTTTTTGTTTGGGTTCCCAAATCCACAGAGAAAAGAGCACCCTTAAAAAAGACGGGCCCCCCACTTGAGGTGAATATGCTCGTGGACGACTTCGCTGCGTGCGTGCGAGACATCAAAGCCGGCGGCAAGCCCAGTGACTTGGTCCGATGTCCATCCCTTTGTCCTTTTGCCTTGGTTTCGCTTTCTGTCACAGGTGAGCCACTTGCTCAAAACCCGGGCAAATCAAGGTTAGTAAGGAACAATCCCAGCCATAAATAGCTGCGGCCGCCTTCTTAATTCTTTACATGGTTCTGGGTGAACCATTTTAATACCGGGTTTCGCTTTCTGGCACAGCTAGCCTTTTGATCGGTTAATTTGGATAGACATAGATCGCAGTGGGTTAGATTGGTTTCATTCGAGCTACCAGGGCGCGAGGGCTATCCCCTTGTAGTGGAGATTCAGACCACTTTTGGAGGGAACACCCCCCAAATAATAGGCCGGCTTTATTGATCCGGAGTCAACTATTAGCTGGGGGTTGCTCCAAAACTATTTTAGGGTAGAATGAGTGTGGACCAGAGCCAGACCATGTGATCATTGTTGGTGTACCCCAGATGTGTGCCGAGTGTTGTCCGTTTTTTCTGGGTTGGGATTTCTGGGTTGGGATTTCCTTTAAAAGCAGCCAGCCAAAGAAGGCGTTTGTGACACAAAACACGGCCAAACAAAAGGAGCGGCATGTGTTTCCTGTTTCCGTTTGTTTTTTGTTTGGGGCGGGCTTCCCTTCGAAAGCAGTGGAGCAAGAAGGGTGGCATTTGTTCTAATCAACCAACAAACCAGAGAGTACCATGCATAAGTTGTCCACATTTTTGCGTGAACTTCTCTTTGAAATGAGCCATCTCAGAAAGGACAGTTCATTTTTTGGGGCCCCCCCCCCCCCCCCCTCCCGGTTTTATGCGTCAGGTGACGACTGGCCAAAGCGATCTTTGCTGGTCCACAAGGTCATGTGTGCGGTCTTCGAATCTGCCAACAAGGGCGGGGCATTGGTGCCGCTTCCGGGTTGCACACATGTCAATGTCAAGGGAACCGGCGTTTTTGTTGTTTGAACTCTCATAAGCTGTTCTAGCTGCTTTTATTTTGGTTTTCCTCATGCTGGACTCTCCACCGAGCGAGTTAGCAACTGGTGATTCCAAACAGACAACACACCGGTTCCATCCGGCTCCGTTTCTTCACGCCTGGAACCAAACTTCCTGAAGGGCCTGGTGTTTCTTTTGTTGGGACAGTCTCGCCACAAAAAAAAACCAGCAGGCACTCGAGGAACCAGATTCTCCGGCCCCAGGCCCTTGAGCAAGCCTCGCTTCCGGCCGGGTTTGTCAGCTTTTGCGAAGTGACTGGAATCGTGGCTCTTTGGGCAAACGGCAACCGAAGGCATCCAGAGCATTCCTTAAGGTTTCTCCGCGTTTCAGATTTCAGAGCATACGGGATGAGGCGGAAGGGTCATGATGTGGATGCTTTGTTTGAGCCAATCTTGGTCATCACTGCAGATTGCCCTGAATGGAGCACATCAATCGCACGCGCGAGAGTTTGCTCCTTTGCCCGCGTTTTTTTAGGTGTAGGACCCCGAAACTGGTGGGTTCTACTTTCGTTTGCTTTTAGAACACCCCTGCGCCCAACGGCGTGCCCTGGAAAGCAGACACACCTGAGCGATTCGAGGCTGGGCAGTGGTGGATATGCTTGATGTACCTGCAGCTCCTACTCTGCCCCCGAAGCTGGCGGCGGTGGTTTTCAAAAGTGGGGGGGGGGTTTTCAAAATGGTGGTCCCTCAATATGGTTCTCCCTCCAAACGCCGGCTATGTGTAAGAGTACGCAGGTTGCTTTCCTTGTGGTTTGCTTTAAATATCAATTGAATGAGGGTCCACCAGCTTGAGGAAAACACTCAAATCACTTTCCAGCGCCCTCCAACGGCAAAGTGCTGTCCAAGAAGCAGTCGTTGAGGGGTGCCGGTTGTAGCTGTCATTCAAGCAAGACTAGATGGATGAATATGGATGACCCTCTTTTGGCCCTTGGGCTCGAGCAAATGAAAGCACATTGTTTTTTTTGCCACAAGTCAAGCAGACGGAATGTTGGAACTGTTCATTCATGCTTGGATGCGTCAGAATGCTGTCAGACATTTATTTGATTTGTTGGGCAGCATCGCGCTTCGCGGCAAGCTGTTGAGCTGCCGACGGATTTATTGGAAGCGCCTCGTTTTGCTTGGTTCGCAGAAAAGATGTCCGAGATCTGCTGAGTTTGCGGAGGCATGGAACAGGCTTAGTGTGTTGGCCCCAATGAGGATCCCTGAGATGATCTCGAGTCTTACTAGGAATATTTACGGGCACTGCAATAGACACATATACAGACTCTTCAGTGTCAGGAAAGGGGCTCTGGGTACGATTGACCGGTGGGTGGGCACGTGCACCACCCATGTATATCTAGGGGTAGCTTCCCCATTCTTTCCAGCGATCCTTCTTTCCAGAAAACCACCCAAAACCCTTGGGAAATGGCTGGTTTCGAAAAGACCGATGGCTGAAAATAATGGTTGGAATCAACCCCTAGAATGTAGATTTTCGGGGCATGGTATGCCGGACTGAAGGGTCTTTCCGTACGTTGCGTCGAAGGGGTTGCGGCCTTTGTGCATGACAGGTCTTACTTCCTTGCTGGACTTCAAGCGTTTTGGGTTTAGTGGTAAAAAGTTTGGACTTTGTGACCCATCCACTCAGGAAGTGAGAGGTCGTTTTTGCACTTCGCTGTTCGCCTCTGCTTTGCTCCAAGACAATGGTTGCGGCGCTGGACACCGGATCTTGATACCCAGCCGCATTCGACGCTACTAAATGGTGCCTACCGCCAAGTACTTGGCAGGTTGTTTCATCATGGTGCGCGACCTGGTGAGTTCGTTGTCGAATCACCCAGCCTTGCGTCGTTGGGAACGAACAAACAACAATTGCAACAAACACAGCAATAAGAGTAGCACGCCACAAAGAACAGCAACCACAACGAGATGGAAACACAACAGCAGCACATAAACACAACAAAGGCGGCGCAAAAACAACAAGCACAACACAGCGATGTCGTAAACAGACGCGCGCGCGCACACAACTGCAACTCATCACGCAATGAAATTATTACAACACACCGACACACGCGCAGATGCAACAACAATTCAATCATCATGGAACCAAATAAACGCATGCAAGCACACGCACACAAACACATATTTTTATAATATATATATATATAGACATTGTTATATTCGAAGACAAGACCTAGCGCGCGCACACACACGCACACACACACGCACACTAACAATTTTTATAAACACAGCGTCGTGCTGCTGCCCTGATGTCAGGTTTGCCTCCAGTTTGAGGGCCCAGTGCACTTGCGGCAGGCGCGAGGGTGTTTTTGAGGCTGGGGATTTATCGTGATCCTGAGCTTTTGGGGGAACAACAACCTATATTTTCTTGCAACTTAATGTTAACCCCGGATTAATAAACCCCTGGTTGATTTTGATCGGGGGAGTTGGGATTCAGACCACTTTTGGAGGGAACACCCCCTGATGGGACAGGTTCTACTTAGATCCTGGGTCAACATTCCGCGCTGGAATCCTTCACCAGCCGTTTTTTCTCCAGCTGAAAGCTGAGTCTTGGCCCAGCCCTGTGGCTTGGTTCCAGAGGGGTTACGGGGGGTCCCATCAAGGGGCTTGAAGAAGCATGTCCTTTGGTGCATTTTGCCAAGGGATGTTAGGACTGAACAACTTTTTGCCAACGAATTTGGGTTTTCCGTATTAAACCACTAAAACTTATAAACTTTGAGCAGGGGAGCAGAAAGCAACCGAGTGTCAGTGTCATGGCAATATGAGAGAGAAGCCTGAAATTTGAGTGGGAAAGTCGTGGGCGGGCTGCCAGGGCAGCAGGCAATGGCAGGGACTTTTTGTCAGTGGAAGTGGAATGTTTAGTCAGCTGTAGATATAATAGTTGAGGCTGGGGATCTCCTTGGATCCAGCTGGGTGGAGGGGGAAGGAGCCCAAATAAGGCCTGAATCATACTATTTGGGCTCCCTCCCTCCCCTCCCAGGCCCTGTGAAACTACGTCAGATGTCGCGAAACCAGTCGGCTTTTTGCGGAAGGCGCCAGCTCGAGTTGTTTGTTGCGGGGCAGTCGTCCTCAAAGCAGCAGGTTGCAATGTCTTTTTTGTGGGTGCATGGGACCGGCGCCGCAATCAAAACATTGGTAAGTGAAGGTTTCCGCATGATGCATCAGAAATAGGCGCGGATATCCGCCTTCTTTGTTCCCATGGCTGTTGAGCAGACCACTGGTTTAGGTTTTGTGACACGGTTTCAGTTGCTTACCTCGTTGTGCGGCACAAAGCCGTGGTGTGTGTTTTTTGCTTGTACATGCTTCATACCTGGTTTTCAAACCCAGGCTGTGTCTTGTGTGTGTGTGTGTTTGTGTTTGTTGTTTTACCATGGTGTCAGTTGTTTACCTCGTTTCGTGTGGCAAGAAGCCGTTGTGTGTGTTTACCTGTTCGTTTACCGCGTTTCGTTGTGTTCGTTGACTTGTCACATGGCCTGGTTCTTCGTTTCGCTTCGCGCTTCGAAAAAAACATCGCTCGCCAGGTGCAGTTCCTGTCCCACCAGAGCAAGATCGCTACCAAGCCTGGGCCACAGACTCGCCGACGAGAGCTTGGCGGACGTGGTGTCGGCTCGCTCCGGCGAGTTGGTTTGTGGCTAGTTGTAGTTGAGTCTCCGGCTAGTACCCTTAGGAAATGGGGTGACCCCACTTTTTTTTTTGGGTCGGAAGGAGAGTCCAGGTGGCTTATAAGAACTGAAAGTTTCCTCATTCTTTCACAGGCGAACTCACGAAAGACGAGAAGCCAGGGTCCCTCTTGGGGGTTCCTTCTGTCGGGATTTTCAAGTTTGCGGAGTCCTAGGGACCCGAAAACGACACGGGTTCAATCTCTAGAAGCCGAAGGGAATCTGGGTGGTTTCTCCCAAAAAAGGGGAAAGGACCTGGAGATTTCGGTTGGGCCTTGGCCTTCTTGGCTCCGCAAAGTTGAGTTTATGGTCCAAAGACGTACTGGGAGCCCCCGGAATTTTGTACCCTGTCCTAGGACGAGGTGTTTCCCTCCAGTGATGAACCCCAACAGGGGACACCCATTAATCAACCAGGGGTTTATATGAATCCGGGGTTAACATTTACATTCGTTTTCCAGGGACGTTTTAGGGAAAGGAAATCAACCATTTGAGATCATTTTGGGGGAAGGGAGTCCTGGAGTCTCCTTCTTAAAGTCATGGGGTGACTTTCTGATTTTGGGTGCCCCCACTTTTTGTAAGGATCAGAAGGAGACTCCAAAAAGGTACAAAACATGGCACGTGGCGCGTCCGAGGATCGAACTCTTCACTGGCACGGCGCCTTCTGGGAGTCAACTCGAGGCGCTCGATTCGGGCCAAACATCCCAAGGGCCCTCTCATGCGATCGGTGGGAGAGATGCAGGAAATGGGAAATGGCTATGGCTCATGATCCCAAGAAAAACAATCCCCCGAGTTGGTTTGGGGAAATGGCTAGAAAAACAATCCCCGAGTTGGTTTGGGGAAATGGCTCATGATCCCAAGAAAAAGCAATCCCCGAGTTAGTTTGGGGAAATTGGCTCATGATCCCGGAAAAAAAAAAAAAAAAAAAAAAAAAAAAAAAACGAGTTGGTTTGGGGAAATGGCTCATGATCCCAAGAAAAGCACAATCCCCGAGTTGGTTTCGGGAAATGGCTCATGACCCCAACAAGAAAACAATCCCCGAGTTGGTTTGGGGAAATGGCTCATGATCCCAAGAAAAAAACACTCCCCGAGTTGGTTTGGGGAAATGGCTCATAACCCCAAGAAAAAATGACCCCAAGAAACACAATCCCCAATATTTGGTTTGGGGTAATGGCTCATGACCCCAACAAGAAAACAATCCCCGAGTTGGTTTGGGGAAATGGCTCATGATCCCAAGAAAAAAACACTCCCCGAGTTGGTTTGGGGAAATGGCTCATAACCCCAAGAAAAAATGACCCCAAGAAACACAATCCCCAATATTTGGTTTGGGGTAATGGCTCATGACCCCAACAAGAAAACAATCCCCGAGTTGGTTTGGGGAAATGGCTCATGATCCCAAGAAAAAAACACTCCCCGAGTTGGTTTGGGGAAATGGCTCATAACCCCAAGAAAAAATGACCCCAAGAAACACAATCCCCAATATTTGGTTTGGGGTAATGGCTCATGACCCCAACAAGAAAACAATCCCCGAGTTGGTTTGGGGAAATGGCTCATGATCCCAAGAAAAAAACACTCCCCGAGTTGGTTTGGGGAAATGGCTCATAACCCCAAGAAAAAATGACCCCAAGAAACACAATCCCCAATATTTGGTTTGGGGTAATGGCTCATGACCCCAACAAGAAAACAATCCCCGAGTTGGTTTGGGGACACGGCTTATAACCCCAAGGAAAACAATCCCCAATATTTGGTTTGGGGTAATGGCTCATGATCCCAAGAAAAGCAATCCCCAATATTTGGTTTGGGGTAAGGTGGATGTCTCTTTGAGGGTACCGTGTCTTTGGTCGGTTTACAGGGGATCCAAAAGCAGTTCCCTTTTGGCGTTTCCATAGTTTGACACGTATTCATACTGTAGATGGACAAAATCCTGCACCACTTTCAATCCATGGGAATCCA